TTCATAACCTTTGAGACAATTCATTCTGTCTTTGCTTTCCAAACTCTTCCTGTTTCAAGGGGATCCTTTTTCAAAGTTTACTTGTGGTCTCTGAATTAAAAGTATAAAAGAAAGTAGATCAGAAGAGGACTCACCACTCTTTTTTATTTGCGAATCGCTTTGTGTATGTGTGTGTGTGCTCAGTCGTGTCCGACTCTTTGTGGCCCCATGGACTATACACTGCCAGCCTCCACTGCCCATGGAATTTTCCAGGCAAGAATACTGGAGTGGGTTGCCATTGCCTCCTCCAGGGGATCTTCCCCACCCAGGGACCAAACCCCCGTCTCTTGTGTCTCCTGCATTGGCAGATGGGTTCTTAACCACTGTGCCACCTGGGAAGCTCCACAAATCTCTTTAAATGAAGCAAAGTAAAAGCAGTCAGATGGGAACTATATTCAATCTCCTGTGATAAAACATGACGGAAAAGAATATGAAAAAAAACACATATATATAAAACTGAGTCGCTCTGTGTACAGCAGAAATTAACACAACACTGTAAATGAACTCTACTGCGATAAACATTTTTTAAAAGTTAAAAGCCAAGCAATGAGTGTGGCATCTGAACACAGAAGACAAACCCCTGCAACGCTTTCTCTAACTCCTCCTGTGTGTATCTTATCTTCACAGCTGGAGAGCCAACAGGATCCTTACCCTGTTAAATAACAGCACATATCCCAACCCACGGAGATTTAGAACACAGCTCTTTCCTTCTGCGTCCGTTGTTTAGAGTTAGAACGCATGATCTTGCAGAAAGAAAGAGCATTTTCTTTAGTGAGCTGCTCAGGGCACCCCGTAGAAACTCTGTTCCATGCTTGATGCACCCCAAATCTGGGCCTCCCAGGTGACACTAGTGGTAAAGAACTCTTCTGCCAATGCAGGGGACATAAGAGACGGGGATTCAGTCCCTGGGTCAGGAAGATCCTCTGGAGGAGGAAATGGCAATTCACTCCAGTATTCTCGCCTTGAGCACCCCAAGGACAGATGAGCCCGGAGAGCTGCAGACCACAGAGTCGCAAAGAGTCGGACACGGCTGAAGCAACTTAGCACGCACGCCCCGGATCTAGTGATGAGGCACACAGAGCAATGCGAGTGGCAGCTGCCACTGTGGTAGCGCCCACGCTGTGGGAGCCGCGGGCGGGGGTCCGGCAGGCGGGCAGGAGCGCGCCCGGCTAGCGCAGGTGCAAGGAGGGGCTCCGGCCATCTGGCTGTGAGGGGACTTGCCAAACGCCAAGGGGAGACCCTCCAGCAGGGCTGGGGAGGCCCCTGCTGGACTTCTGAGCCCCCCGCCGCTAGCTCCCACCCACTTCTGAGCGCTGCAAAAGGAATCAACAGACACTTGCTGAAGTCAATTCTGTCCATGTCCTGGTGGTCCAGGGAGCAGGCACAGTCCTCCATCAGCATCCTCAAGGATGGTCCCAGGCCCCCCAGGGCCACCAACACCTGCCAACCGTGCTCAAGTCCCTTAAATAACACGGTGTAGCGTTTGCATACAACCCACACATCCTTCATAGACTTTAAATCACCTCGAGATTACTTGCAAAGCCTAATACCACATGCATGCCATATAAACAGTTGCGGATACAATGTAAGTGCTATGTAAATAGCTATTGGCAGGTGGCAAATTCAAGTCTTGGTTTTTGGAACTTTCTGGAATTTTTTTCCCCTCAAATATTTTCAATCCATGGTTCATTGAATCAGGGGATACAGAATCTGTGGATGTCGAGGTCCTACTCAGGATACAGGGTGAGCCGGGCAAAACTGACTGACACATTGTCTGTTCTCATCGAGTTAGACTCAGTGGAAGAAGACTTCATTCAGCCTGCATTTCTGGAGACCCTCCAAGGAAGAGGAACAACTGTTTCCAGGGCCTGGGGATACCAGAGTAAGGACAAATGCTAAATACATCACCATCAAAACCTGAGCACATGGACTTCCCTGGTGGTCCAGTGGCTAAGACCCCACGCTCCCAGTGCAGGGGGCCCAGGTTTGATGCCTGGTTGGGCAACTGCTGAGCCCACGTGCCGTAACTACTGAGGCCAACGCACCTAAGAGTGTGCTGCGCAAGAGAAGCCAGCGGAAGGAGAAGCCTCCACGCTCCGCATCTAGAGAAAAGCCTTCAAAGCAGCTAACACCCAGCTCAGCCAGGGACAAATACATAAATAAACAAAAATTTTTAAAAAGAACAAGTAAAGAAAAAACTGTTTTAATAAAAGTGTATATGCAGAGTGGGGGACGTGCTTCTTTCCAAAAGCTTTTGAAAAATCATCCAGTGGTCAGAGCCAAAATAACACAGGTACCAGATCCAGGTAGGTGGTACGGGCGTGCTTCTTTAGACCCTGGCTGGGAGAGAGTGGCTTCTTACATGACACAAAGAATCTTCACCCGCACTTCTTTGCTACCACTTCTGAACCTCCCAACCCTTCAAAGAGGTGGAGCAGAGCGGCGCCCCATTTTGTGATGAAAAGTCAGCGTCTAGAGAGGGGGACAGAGATCCCCTGGCCCAGCGGGCGTCCCTAAAGGGACACAAGTCAAACCTCGTGATGACCTAGCACCTCCTCCACTCTGTCCGACTGCCTCTCTGACGCGACCAGGAAACAAAGGTAGCTTAGTGACCAAAATAACGGTGTACCAGGTCTGACTTGGTAAGTAGTAAACTCTCCATCTTTTGAAGCGCATAAATCCTTCCCCAACACTGTGTACCAGGTCTGACTTAGTAAGCAGTAAACTCTCCATCTTTTGAAGCGCGTAAATCCTTCCCCAACACTGCTACGAGAAGATGCCAGCTAAGTGTTCTAGAGGCAAAGAACGAACACCGCTCCAAACAACAAGCCACCCAGACTGGGTGAGGTCTGTTCCCCACTGGACAGGTCACTGCATGTAAGTGACAGAAATACTGGGAAGAAAAAACAGGTTCTGTGAAATCTGGCCCGCTGGGACATCAAGGGCTTTCCCTGTTTGGTTCCTAACCTTAAAACTATCTTCACACCAAGTTGGAAATTAAAATTCTTTGCCTAATTTTCCCCAACCACATGGCCTTAGAAGTGAGCTAGCCTGTTCTATGTAATTACTAAGGCAGAAGTAACACACACAGCACATGTCTATCCTACAAACAGAAACTATGGCATTACTTGAAGTGTCTATGAAGCCTACACCAAGCCACCAAAACCAGAAATAAAAACAGAGGCCTTCAAATTCCCAAAAAGCCACATCCTCTAACTGCAGTGGAACAAAATTAGTACAAACATTCACCCCAAATGCCGGTCACTTGGAACTTAAGACATTCTGCTGTTAAGGATACATTCATTCACACACAGACAGAAAGAGGAAATGTGGCATGTTTAAAATCTGTTTACCGTAAGCAAAGAAATGTTTTAATAGAAGTTTTTAAAGACGATTACTTAATCCTTATAAAAACAGATGCTCACAGACAACACATCCAAAAAAATGTACTGGTTAACAATCATTTAACCACAAGGTGTATGGCAAAAATAGATTCCCTTTCTGCACCCCAATTTCATCTTCTTTCAGCTCATTTTTTTATATTCTGGTATAAAAATCAGCTTCATGAGCAGATTCACAGTTGCCTTCCCCAATACTAAACACAATATCCCAGGGCAGCTAAAAACTCAGTAAATATTTATAGAATATATGAATTTTAAAATGTACATCTATTAAAGAATCGGCTTAATAACTATTCTAAGCATGATGAAATATATGATATAGACACACATTTATTCACATGAAAAGATTTTCCATAACCCAATGCTTAATAAAGAAGCTTATAAAATAGTTTTTATAGAAGAAACACATTTTTTTCTCCCCTCTCTCATCCTCTCTCCCCCACACACACACTATGTTTAAAAATCTGGGTACAAGTTGGACAAAGAAGAGCTAGTAACAAGAATTACTTTATGATTATGAAATAACTTACACACATCCAAGGTGTGAGAAGAGGGAAAACGTTGCTTTCTGTGGCCAGTTAACTTGCTGTCGCTTCCAAGTTGTGTAGAAGTTTGTCAAGCTCCCCGCCTGCTCCCTCAGTGACCAGTGAACCACTCAACCTGAACCATCTCCTCCAGGGCATCACTGTCCTGGCTGGTGGCAGTTCTAGGCCTGGCCTACCCGCTCGGCAAGCATCTGCTTGATATTCAAATTGGAATTAAAACAGCTAAGAGGTGGCATGACTCCTGACTTGTCAGCGTCTGTATCTTAAGTGTCTGTTAAGTGAAAACATTTCTCACAGTCGTATTATCTGGTTTTAACTTACGTGGAACCAGCCTGCCGTAAAGAAAGGAATTTCCTAAAGGGCTCTGACACAGTCAACTTTTCAGAACTTAAAAGGGAACCTTATCCACATTTATCTTACTTTCAAAGACATGAACGCAGACATAACTGTGGCATTGCAAGGTAATAATTAACCCTCAAATTGCTAGTCTGTAGGGCAATGGAAGTAAAGACTTCAATATTTCAGTCTGGAAAAAAATGAGTAAATCAAACCTCCTATTTACCTGTGATGGCAACGTCTTGGCCCTGGGCTGCTCCGGCTACAGACTGTTACTTCCCAGAAGAGGAAGGGCCCTCCTCCTCCGGCCTTGGCGGCAAGACGGTAAAGGTTCTCCCCACCTCTCCACCACCTTGAAAGAGGAAAGTCACCGTGACCCTGCGTCTTCAGCCGCTATGGTGTGGCAGGGTCGTCCCAGAAAAGCCCAGCCCCGCCTCCCTGCCCCACGCACCCCTTCCCAAGCAGCCCGGGGTAGGAGGGGACTCCCGGGTTTGGGGAGGGGCGGCGGGGGCTAGGGGTAGGCAGGCGGCCGCGAACTACCCAGGACGCTCCGCGAAATCCAAGGCAGTATACAAGCCCGGACTTTTCTTAGAAAGAACTTTGACGTTTGCGGCGCAGCCACCAGCCTTTAAACTTCAAAAAGGCAGGACAGCACGGGTGTGCCGTTGTTCCCGGTTAGACTGCGGAGCGCATAGGGGCAGAACCAGCCCTCCGGACTTCCGCCAGGACAGCCGCGAGCAGCCGGGAACCCGGGGACACCCGGACGCGGGCGCCCAGCGCCAGACCCGCGGGCCCTGGGCTGGGAGGGCCGTCCCGCGGCGGAGACTGCCCTGGGCTCGCCCGGCTCGGCCCGTCCGGGTCTCCCGATGGCCCTTAGGCGCAAAGTGAGGGCAATTCCTCAAAGCTGAACTAACCCGCGCGTGTCTCTCCCATCAGAGCTTAGCCGCCGGGCGCACGAGGGTCAGTCTGCCGGACCTCGGGCCACCTGGCCTAGGGGATCCTCGGAGGTCTCGGAAATGCCCCAGTCGGGGACAACCAAACTCGACCATGTAGAAGGAACGGCGAGCCTGATGCTCCCGCCTGGTGGGCCTTCTCTCCGGGGTCGGGGACAACCTGAGCACCTAGTGTCTCTGAGATCCCAGACCTCGACCCCTGCCCAGGCCCCAGTCACAACCGACAGCTGCGGACGCCGGGGCTCCAGGCAGGCCCCGGGCGCTCGGAGGGAGGCCGACCAACGGGAGGCCCCCCTGGGCCCCGGGATCCCCAGTACTAGCCAGCTGCGAGAGCCTTCACCCCGCGCCCCGGGGCCCCGCGCATGCGCCACCCGGCCCCTCCCCGTCCGCCGCCGCTCTGAGGGGGAGCCCGGCCCCCGGACCCCCGCGCGCGCCCGCCCGCCCGCCGCCTGGCACCTGGGGCCGCGCGGTCCGCCGCCTGCCGGTCCGCCGGGCGAGCGCGCCTAGGGAGGTGGCGCCGGGCAGGGCGCTAGCGGCCGCCACCGCCCCTGCCGCCCGCTGCCCCCGCCGTGGGGCCGTCGCGTCCCCTGCCCCTGCCCGGCGCCGCCTCCCAGCTCCCGTGCCAGCCGCGCCCCCGCGGCACGCGCCGCCCCTCTGCCCCCGGCCCGGGGCCGGGCAGCTCCGGCGGCTCGAGAGGGGGGGTGGGGGTGGGGGCTCCTCCAGGAAGCCCCGCCCCCGGCCCCACCCCGCGCGGGGACACAGCCCCCGGACGGCGGGGCCCGATTGGCTGCCCGCGGGGGCGGGGGTGGGGCCGCTCTCGGCGGGGGCTGCCCACCTCCTGTCCCACGGCGGCGGCGCCAGTGGGGAGACTGAGGCCGGGGCGGGGGTGCGCGGAGGTTCAAGGTCACCCGGGTGGGCGCAACGCCCGTGAGAGCACGCCGCGTGTGGCTGGACCTGGGCGCGCGTCCGGCCCCGCTTACTGGGGGAGGGCCGAAGCCTAGGAGGGGCGGGCGCGAGGCGGCGGGCCGTGTGAGTGTTCCCGCCCGCGGCCCGGGCCACGCTGGCGAGGCCCCGCCTTCCCTCCCGGAGCCCAGCTCTGTCCGGCCCGCGCGAGGAGCTTGGTCTAGACCCGGGACCGAGGCGCGGGGTGCCCTCGAGTCTGGGGAGCGCGCAGGGCCAAGGGCGGGCGGGGAAGGACCTTGTCCCGGGGACCCCGGATTGCCGAGGGTGGGGGAACGGGAACGCTGGCTGGGAGGGCGCGTCAACAGGTGGCAGAGTTGCCCGGGGCGGCGGGCGGGGGACGGAGACGAGTGAAGGGCACCGGGCCCAGGCGCCCGGAGGCGCTGTCGAGTCTGACCAGCCGCCCCCCACCGCCCCTGGCCGGCCCCTGGCTGTCCGATGAGCCTGCCCTCATCGGGGGTGAATGTGAATCGGGGGTGAGGGGCTGACTCTGTGCTCAGCCGAGGAGCTGGGCTTCTGCCAGCGTGGGGGGGGGGGGGGGGAGGTCGCGGCCCGGGAGCCAATGGCTAGCAGCAAGAGCGCGAGCTGCAAAGAGGCTTTGTTTGCGCGGTGACGCTGGAGCTCCCCACGCCGAAGGCACGAAGCCCCAGGTGCCAGCGCATCGGGACGCCCCTCCTTTGGGAACGAAATGTGTGCTATGTCGGCCCTGCTCCTTGCCCTCCCGCGACTCCGTCCACTGTTCTATTTGTGGCGGCGAGCGCCCAGAAGAACCTACTGGGGCGGGAAGCAGCTCCAAGCAAATTCCCGCATGACACGCAGACGCTGGAGACTCGGCGGACGTGGCCCCTTATACGGATGTCTTAGGCTCACCCTTGTTGACTGGCTGCATACCTGTGGCGAACTTTGCTCCACCCAGCAGACACCCTCAACACCTTCGCACCAACACACACGAACAAGCCCAGCTCTTATTGCTCATGCTATATAGCGATGGGCAGTTTCTGTATTACGTTTCAGAGTTTACGAAGTGATCCGTGTACATTACATCCTGGATATCTCACAGGCTGAGCAGGCAACGGTATTGTTTATTTATGGAGCTAGAGGGCCCATAACTGGGCTCCTGTCCTCCTGAGGGCATCCAGCTCGGAGATGTCACCTGACATATCGCAGATCAAGAATGGAAGAGTCGGAATAGAGGGGTGCCAGCTTCTCTCCCCAGACACACCCGTGATTGTCTGCTGTAAACCCGGTTAAACCAGGCAGTTAGAGAGACCTGGTAAAAACTGTTCTGAATTAGGGCGAAGGAAGCTGCCTAGGGGTCAGCAGAGCCGTGTGTACACCCACAGACATACAGAAATGATGTTCTTGGGGCTCCCAAGATTTTAGGGAGAGAAAGCTTGTTTTCCATGCATGTAATGTATTCAAAGCTATCACCTTTGAACAAATGCTCTCAGCCGGCCCCTTGCCTCCCCTTCCCCAGGAAAAAGCAGAAGGATGCTCAGGAATTTTCTCATGGGAGTAGTCATGCGCGGTTTCCATACACGCAGCCCCCAGGGGACTGTGGGTTCCTGTTTACCTTGAGCAGCCTTCTGTTAGCCATGAAAAACCCGTCACAGCCGGAATAGGAGATACTGTCACAAAGGACATCCCTCTCCCAGCCCCCGGCTCCTGGAAGTCTCTCCCTCCCGCCCCCACCCCTCCTAACTTCTGTGTTGATGACAAAGCTTGGGCAACACAACAACACAGACAGCCTCCTACACTGGGCCAGAGCAGCACCTTGTAACTTCAGGGACATGTTAGTGCTCCTAAATACACCTCTGAGCATTGCCCCAGTTCCTCTTTGCAGCCTTGGTAAATACCAGGAGCGGTGGGGGATGTGTGTATCTTTGTTCATAGCTTCCATTTATTTGGTGCTGATGCTCTTTCAGATCCTGTTTCACATTTTCTAATCTTGGAGATGTTTGGAGAAATAATTATCCTTGTGCCCACATTACAGTAGGCGGACTGAGGCAACACCCCCTCCCCTCCACCAGGTCATACTGACCAGTCGCAGAGCCCAGGATAGGAAGCCTGTCTGTGGTGCCCACACCTGGATGGACCTAATCCCACGGGGGCAGACAAGGGTTTCCCATGGCCTCTGGGGAGAAATCATCTGGGGACGTTCAGAGGACAGGAAGGGAGTAGCTGGCAGAGGCTCCCGTCACCAGATACCAGGCGGCAGGTTAGACCCTGAATGTGTAAGCAGGTGAGGTCACCACCTGTGTTCAGAAACTGGCCCTGACCCCTGCAGGGGTGAGGCGTCTGCCAAGAGTTGGGTCCAGGCCCCAGACAGAAGTCTATTTGCCATCCAGTCGAGTGAAGCTCTTTTCTGGGATCTGTCCAAGCCTCTGCGGTCACTTGCTTACCCTTTGCTGATGTGCAAAGCCTCCCAGTGAGATGGAGTTTGTGCTTCTGGGGTGTCATCAACCAGGACAGTGGCCTCTGGTCTCCTGGACACGTGACCTCCAGTGAGATGGTGGAAGTCAGCATGGGCAAGGGACATGGGCTGAGAAAGGGTGAGTTCACTGTTGGCCGGTTCAGAGCCACCCTGTGGTCCGGACTGGACCTCAGCGGGGACCAACCCTGAGTGTGTGTGCAGCTGCTCTCCTAGTAGTGATGGCGAAACCTCAGGGGTCCAGGTAACCAAGTCTTGTCACCCGAAGGCTGGAACTCACAAAGGTCCCGAAGAACAACTGGGTTCATCTCATTCTGCAGAGGTGGAGACAAAGGGAGTGACAGCCCTTGGCCGAGGTCTGCGAGAATGAGTGGACACCTGGCTCTCCGAGTCCAAACCCACTCTACTGTGGGTGCAGACGAGGGCGCCAGCCTGAGGAACCCCAGGGTGCAGCTGCCTGGTCCCCAAGCCTGTACTCTCCTGGCACGACGCCCCGGCTGTCTCCGTCGGGCCCAGGAGCCGAGTGTGAAGGACCAGTCTGGGCCCAGCGCTTCAGCAGGGCCCCAGCACACGCACAAGCTTGTGGCTGGAGAAAGAGGCCGTGTTCAAGGGGAGAATGGGCAAGGCACAGGACAGGCGGAGGTGGGCAGTGACCTGTGACCCGGCGGGGAGGGGGAGGTCGGCTTGGCTCCATCACATCAGTGACAAATTACAAATGATACATGTTACCCAGTTGTTATCATGGAAGTGGGGGTGGGGTGGGGTGGGTGGTGGGTACAGCGCTGTACCCACTTGAGGGATGCAGGGTCTGGAAGCTTCTGCAGGTCCAACAATGGCTTCCATCATAGATGCCAGGCTCTTTGATTTCTCACCTGTCCCCAGCCAAAGTCCCCAGACTGGCTTTCCTATAGTCTCCACCTGGGCTTTTGCCTCTGACTCCAATCTCTGTCTCTGTTGTTCTTGAGAACCCCAAGGCAGCCCACCCACAGCTCCAGCCCCCACCATCCCTCCCTAGAGTCAGATTCCCTCATCATCATCACGGACTCCTCCGTCCCAGGTGGCTTAAGCTCCTTGGGATAGGCTGGGTCACAGATGTCGTTTGCTGGGTTCCGAGCTTGGACTCGGAGCTTCAGAACCTGAGTGATGCAAAAGGGGAGAATCTCAAAGTATGATGGATGGATGCTGTATGATGTATAAAGCATCATCCATATAAAGCACAGTATATCATATACATCATCATACATATAAAGCACAGTAAAGTATGATGTATACAGAAAGCTGAGCACCGAATAATTGATACTTCTGAACTGTGGTGTTGGAGAAGACCCTTGAGAGTCCCTTGGACTGCAAGGAGATCCAACCAGTCCATCCTGAAGGAAATCAGTCCTGAATATTCACTGGAAAGACTGATACTGAAGCTGAAACTCCAGTACTTTGGCCACCTGATGTGAAGAACTGACCCATTGGAAAAGACCCTGATGCTGGGAAAGATTGGGGGCAGGAGGAGAAGGGGACGACAGAGGATGAGATGGTTGGATGGCAACACTGACTCAATGGACATGAGTTTGAGTAAATTTCAGGAGCTGGTGATGGACAGGGAGGCCTGGCGTGCTGCGGTTCATGGGGTCGCAAAGAGTCGGACATGACTGAGCGACTGAACTGAACTGACTGATAGACGCTGTGCCATGAGTGCGTGCTCAGTCGTGTCCGACTCTTTGCAACACTTTGGACTGTAGCCCGCCCGGCTCCTCTGTCCATGGGATTTCCCAGGCAAGAATACTGGGGTGGGATACCATTTCCTTCTCCAGGGGATCTTCCTGACCCAGGGATTGAACTCACAGCTCCTGCTTTGGCAGGCAGATTCTTTACCACTGAGCTACCTGGAGGCCTGATGTATGGATAAATTTGGTCAATAAAGGACATTCTGCCCTGCTGGAGTTCTCAGTTATCTGACTCAGGGGGGGTCCTGAGTGTGAAGCTCACTGTTGTGGGTGGGCAAGGTCTGGGGGGAGGGGATGCAGAGATAAGACATGTGTTGACCCACAAATGCAAAATAGATTCATGTATATGTGGCCATCACTGCCTCTCTCTGGAGCACCCCCAATTCCCTCATGAAATTAATAAACAGAACCTGGGGTTTGGAGTCAAACAGACCTGGATTCAAAACCTTGCGCTGCCTTTTACTCATACCATAATCCTAGACAAATGGCTGAACTCCTATCTGAATTTTTTCCTAGAGAAAATGGGGTGACAGTGCTGAGCTCCAGGGGTCCTGGGGTGAGAATTAGGAAGGAGGACAGAGAAGTGCAGGGACAGGGCCTGATAGGCGGGTCACAGTTGGGGCCTGGCGACCACCTGCCTGAGGGCTCTGCCAAGGGCCACCTCCTCCAGGAAGCCCGCCCGGCACCTGTCTGACCCGCAAAGCTGCTCTCTTCCCTGTGCTGCCACCACCCCCCACGTGGCTCTTGTCTGGTTCAGCACTGTCTTTACAGTGCCTCTGCCCTGCCTGCCTCGCCACGCAGAACGGCCGACACGACCGAGTCCTTGAAGCTTTCTGACACCAGGCGAAGCACCTGTTCCTCGCTCCCTCTCATGATCCTCAGATCTACGCCGGGACCTGCCTTTAGGGCTTTCTGGGCGGCTCAGCCGTAAAGAATCCTGCCATGCAAGAGATGCAAGAGACTCCGGTTCGATCCCTAGGTTGAGAAGATCCCCTGGAGAAGGAAATGGCAACCCATTCCAGTATTCTTGCCTGAAAAGTCCCATGGACAGAGGGGCCGGGTGGACTACAGTCCCTGGGGTCATGAAGAGTTGGATGCGACTGAGCACGCACCCACCTTTTACAGAAGCGTTCTGCCAGCCGGTCAAGGCAGCGTGACCTCCAGCCTGGGCGGCCTGCGGGTTCCCACCCCGGCGGCCAGCTGCCCTCACCCAGGTCTCCATCCCTGAGTGCTCAGGGCCTGGAACCCACCCCACCAGCCCCCATAACGTACCAGGGAGCGGCCAGCACGTCCGCCAGCATCTCCAGGCCTTGGTGGTCACTAACATGACCAAGTGGCCCGTGGTCCCCAGCCCCCTGAGGGGACAGCCCATGTTCCCAGTCTGTGGCAAAATGGACAGAAGAGCGTTTGGCAAGTTCTCTGTAAAGCCAGTTGGTCTAAAGAAGGGTCCTCTTTGTCCCTGGGTGTGCCCTTGACATTTCCCTGGTTTCTCGTCGAAATGCTTTTTCTTACTAAAAAGGTGATGGTAATAACTGCTAATAGCTGTGTTTTGACTCGGCGGACCCACGGCCGTCCCCCAAACCGGGTGAAACGTGGGTCTGTGAGCCCAGGGTCTGCGCCCCGCTGGCCCCAGAGAGCTCTGTTTGCCGATAAACACGCAGCACATTTGAAGGCCTCCTGACTCTCCCGGCCTTCTGGCTCGGCTCTCTCCTCCAGATTGCCTTCTGATATTTATTTTCCCATCAACACTTCGGCTTGTGTTGAGACTTGCAGCTAGGAGCATAAAGTCCTACACGAGGGCCTGATTTTGATCTCTGACACAGTGTGGGCGGCGGCCTTGGGAGTCTGCTGGGATCACACCCACTCGGGGCCCCAGCTCACATGCCACCCACTACCCCCGGGTGGGGGCCAGGCCTGGGGAAGAGCGCTTCCTCTGCCTGGGAGCCTGAGGTGTGCAGGGCCGGACTTTCATGGGAGGCAGGAGGAAAACTGAAATCTACACTCTGGAACACTCTAGAAGGTGCCGGGGGCATGCAGCAGAGAACGCGGGACCAGCATCCTGGCAGATGGGGTCTTTCGGTGGCTGGTGGGAGAGACACTGGGGACTGTAGATCCATCATTTCTTTTCTCTAAGTTGAAGCACATTAGATTAAACCAACTTTCCAGGCAAGCATTGGTGCTGAGTTTAATTTCAAAATGGTCCCTCCCTGCAGGGAGATCTAGTGATCGTTAAGTAGATGCCAAGGACTGAGATGGCCCCTTCCAAGAATGATGCCAGTTTCACCAACCAGAGACCCCAGCCCTGACTTCCTCTAGGAAAGCAAGGTGGACTGAACCCCCTTGTTCCTGACTCCCCGGCTTCCAGCTTAAAACAAAGAAGAATCCCTCAATTAGATGCCTCTGATCTTGACTTCTGTCCTTACATGTGCCTCCCCCCACCCCAAGGTCAAGACCCAGCCTTTCCAGATTGGCTAAGGCCCTCAGGGCAAAATGGCTATAGTGCCATATCCCTGTTCTTGCTCCCTGCACCCCAGACTTAGCCTCTGGTGGTCCTCCACTACCTCGGCCACACTTTCAGGCCTGTAACATAATTTTTAAATAACTCCTTTATCCAAAATGTTTACTTGCTTCCAGAGAGAGTCAGTGCAAAGAATCTGGCCTGCCATTACTAGACACTGAAGCTTAAACTACTGTTTCAGTCCTCGATGATATTTATTTATCTTCGGGGTCAGCTGCTAAGTAGCTTGAAAACTGGGCCTTGGGCTCCTCGTGTTCCCGGCCCACCTGGCACAGGGAAGGTGGCAACCATTCGGGGCTTTTTGAGCATGTCCCTGAAGGGTGCTGTTGGTCCAAAAGAAAGCTGGTGGATAGCTGCCCTCTTCTACAGCAGAGGGTCAGGTGCCCGGGGTCCCCTCCTGGTTCGGCTGCCTGGAGAGGGTGTTGGCGAGGTCACCCATGTCTCTGAGCCTCATACCTGGGAACCGCAGGCCTAGGCCCGGTGCCTGTCGGTCGGGCTCACGTGTGCTCACTTTTTCCACTGTGCCTACCCCTCCCCTCCCCGGCTCTGTGACCTTGGGCAGCCACGACCTCCCTGCGTCTATTCCCCGACCGTAAACTGAGAGGCCGAGCTGGCTGATCTCAGGCATCCCCTGCCAGCTTGAGACTCTGCGTTGTGCTCAGGGGGTGTGGCCGTGACGTACCCCAGGAGCCAGCTGCCAGGGCCCACGAGGGAGGCATTTTTTCCTGCCTCGCTGGGGGAAAAGCAGACACATGACTCTTCCAGCTGATCTCTTGCGTGAATTAAGATCAGCGTCTCGTGCTTTGTGCTTTGGAAAGGCGATCGGGACCAGCCTCCCAGGTCTGTGGCCTGGGGGAAATCGGCTCCTTCTTTGGGCTGGAACCTTCCAGACCAAGGCTGGTCCACTGAAAGTCACGCACCCCTGCTCCTGCAAACGCCCAGCAGACAGACTGTGCCAAGTCCCGTCCCAAGGCCACATCAGGGAGGGGACGGGCCCTGGGCTTCTGCTTCCTCTTCCGGGGACTTCTCCTCTGCTGCCTGCTGCTTCGGTCTAAAAATACGCTCTGCGTTCTTGTTACGACCCAGTAGGAGTGATAGATCCTGTTGACAAGAGGAAGAAGTTATGGGATGGGGCACACTTTGGGAAATTCCCAGGACGGCGGGAACCTGGGCTGGCTGCCCTGTGTGTCCTCCACGCACGTTAGGGAAACAGAAGGCCGCCGCCCAGAGGGACCCAGGCCTCCCCACCCCGCCACTCCTGCCCCGCTTTGGAAGGGAGCCCCAGAAGCTGGCTGGGGCAGGGCCGCTCGGCAGGACCAGAGATCCACGGGGAAGCTCTTGCACTGGGGGGGCGGGTTCCTTCAGGGCAGGACCCCATGGAGTCCTTGCTGGGTCTCCTGGGGCCACGTCCAGGCCCTGAAAGCGAGGCTCAGGCAGCCCCGAGGGGGCTCTCCCCGCCGCCATCACCCGTTTTGTTCAGGGAGCGAAGCCAAGCGGAGGGTCTGAGCTCTAATCCCACTCTGCTGGGTGAACCTGGCCAGTTGCCTCACCTCTCAGCTCCTCCGTTTCCTCGCGGCAGGGATTTAAGGCTGCCCTTGGAGGTCAGTGCCAAGGTGAGCCTAATGAGGGGCCTCACAGCCCCTCGCTGCGCCCCCAGCCCTGCAAGTGGCGCCCTTTCCCCCGGGCCCTGCCGGCTCCCTCCCCTCACCCTCCAGCGCCGGCTCCGCCCCGCCGGCACCTCCCTCCCAGCCCGTATTCCTGCCCTGCTGGTACCCGGACGGGCCGGGCCGAGCCCTGGGGACTGATACCCAGGGTCAGCCAAGGTCACACTCCCATCTCTCTCTGCAGCCTCTCTGCTTGCAGTCCACCACGTCCCATGTGCTTTTGTTCCTGCAGGGCCTCTCCTCTTCCCTCTTCTGTTTTTCCTGGCACCACCTCTTCCAGGAAGGCCTCCCGGGTCTCCCGTCTCTGGGCTGTGTGCCTCTGCTGGGCTCTCTGTGTTACGATACTAGCCCTTTACTAGTCCATCTCCCTCACTGGATTGGAAGCTTCCTGGGAATTAGGAGCTTACCTGAGATTGTGAATAACAATAAGACAGCAATGATGAACTTTTTAAAAAAGTCCCTTTTAAAAAAGATTTTACATCGTGCATGTTCAGATTTAACAACACCCAGCTACTTTGCGCAGAAAATTTTCACTAGTGGTTGCTTTTTTTCATACTGCAGTTATTTTATAGTGAAGTTTGTCACATGTCTTATAATTTTGCTTGTTTTTATTATGACACATATGATATTCCTTATGTTTAAATAAACAACTTCCTTTTAACATAGTAATTTTTAGTTGTGATAAAAAAATACATTACATGGGCTTCCCAGGTGCTCGACCCACTCCAATATTCTTACCTGGGAAATCCCATGGACAGAGGAGCTTGGCAGTCCATGGGGTTGCAAAAGAGTCAGATATGACTTAGCAGCTAAACAATATAACGCATAACATACGGAATTCCCTGGTGGTCCAGTGGCTAAGACTCAGAGCTCCCAATGCAGGGGGCCTGCGTTCAATCCCTGGTCAAGAAATTAGATCCCACACGGCGCAGCCAAATAAATAAAGAATAAAAAACACATGCGTATCATAAAATGTACCATTCTTAAGCATACGGTTCACTGCCATAAAAGACATTCACCTGTTTGCTTCCATGACCAGCATCCAGAACTTTTTCATCTCTCAAAACTGAAACTTTGCTCATCCCGTGCAACTATGACACCCCATTTCTCATTCCGGATTTTTAGTTGCTGTAAAGATTTGGGGAACATTTAGTGAAATCAGAATGAGGTCTGTCCCATAGATAGTGTTGACTTCCTGATTCTAATCATATGGTGGTTGTGTAAGATAGTGATTTTTAAACATTTTGGTTTTATGATTCCTTTATCTTCTTAAAAGCTATTGAGAGCCCCAAAACATTTTGTCTCTGAGGGCTATATTTGTCAATATTTCTGGTGTTAGAAAATAAAACTGAAAAAACTTTAAGTATTTATTAATTCATATAAAAATAACAATAATAAGTCCGTTGTATCTTAACATATAGAAAATAATTAAAAGTTTCAAAACCTTACCCCCAAATGATTAAATGTTTCAAAATGATTATGAAATGATTAAGTTTCAAAACCTTACCCCCAAGTTTTGAAAAACATTTTTTCAAATCTTCTTAATGTCTGGTTTAACAGAAGGTAGCTAGATTCTCACCCACTCCAGTGTTCTTGCCTGGAGAATACCCGGGACGGGGGAGCCTGGTGGGCTGCCGTCTATGGGATCACACAGAGTTAGACACGACTGAACTGACTTAGCAGCAGCAGCAGCAGCAGCTAAATTCTCACGTCTGTATCTTCTTTGTTTTTCTGGATGGTCCCTAGTTTCAAAAAATTAACTTTAAGGATAGATTTATTTAAGTATAGATTTATAATGTTGTGTTAATTTCTGTTGTACAGCAAGATGATTCAGCTATATATATATACACACACATGTCCCTCTTATCACTCTTTTCCGTTTTGGTTTATCACAAAGTATTGAATATAGTTCCCTGTGCTCTATGGGACGACCTTGTTGCTTATCCTCACTCTGCTTCTGCAACCAGTCTCTTGCAATCTGTCATTTTTGTCGACCTCCGTGAAGAAAATCTAGCAGGTAGAAGGAGGAGCGTAATTTAATAGTCATTGTGGATATTCTTTGCCACTGCCCCCAGAATTCCACACACGGATGTTCCCCTTTCTCTCCTTTTCTGATGTCACGCCTTACTGCAATCTACTGCACACGCCATAAAATCCACGCTCTTAGGGGGCACAGCACTCAGGGCTTTGGTGCCTCCTCGCTCCCAGCTCTTCCGGGACGAGAGGGCATTTGAAGGAGTGTGCTCAGCCCAGGGGAAAATCAGGGCCCTCCCCACCACGCACACACCTGAAGGAAGACAGCGTGGAGTGGGGGAGCACCGCCAGGAAGACAGGGGATGTCTAGGAGCACCCTCCAGACTGCAGACAGGCTGACCCTGAGTCTCCCCCCTCCCGCCGGAGACCACGCGGGACGGGGAGTTTCAGCAGCTTTGACCCTGGCCACGGCAGAGAAAGCCTCCCCACCCCTGCTGTGGCAGGGCTGATTTTGGGTCTACTAGGAGTGGCATAGACAAAGCCTCTAAGAAAGGGGGGAGAATTCATGAACTGCTGTTAAGTGAGACGACAGAAGCCCGTGGAGGTCAAGAGCCCAGCCATCGTACGAGCGTCCTGAGGCCGCCGAAACAAGTGACCACCAGAGTAATGGCTGAAAAACCCCCAGTGGGACTCCCAGGAGGTCTAATGGTTAGGGCTCTGTGCTCCCAATGTAGGGGGCCTGGGTTCGATCCCTGGTTAGGGAACTAGAGCCTGCACACTGCAACGAAGACCCGAAACAGCCAAGTAAATCCAACTAACTAAATAAATAAAACAACCCAAGTCTCTTCTCTTGCAGGTCCTGAAGTCAGAGTCTCATGTGGGGTCAGGACACGTGTGGGCAGGGCTCAGCTTCCCCTGGAGGCTCCAAGAGAGAATCCATCTCCTGGCCTTTGCCAGCTTCCAGAGGCGTCCACGTGCCTTGGCCCACGGACCCTTTCCCCACATCCAAGCCAGCAGCTCCGCATCTCCTGGTCTCTCTGTGACGCTGACCTCCTTCTTCCTCTCGTGACCCTTGTGATGACATTGGACCTTCAGAGAAAATCGAGGACCATCTCCCCGTCTCAAGGTTCTTAAATAATCCCGTCTGCAAAGTCCCTTTTGTCGAAGAAGGCAGCATATCAGGACTTCCCTGGTGGTCCAGTGACTAAGACTCTGCACTCCCGGTGCAGGGGGCCCAGGTTCGAGTCCCTGGTCAGGGAACTAGAGTCCACACGCCTCAACTGAGAGTTCGCACGCTGCGACTGAAGATCCCTCGCGCCGCAACTAAGATATGGAGCAACCGAACATGTGAGTAAAGACATTTAAGAAAACAGAGGGAAGAAGTTCACAGGTTCTGGGTATCAGGACGTGACCATTCTAGAGGGTCGTTACTATGTCCCCACAAGGCTCCAGGGCCTCGGACAAGTCATTTCACCTCTGCTTGCCTCAGTTTCCACATCTGTAGAGAGAAGACAGTGATAGTCCTACCCCGTTAGGCCCACTGCTACTTCCACAAGCCCTTCTGGCAGATGCAGAGGGCTGTGGGCAGTGGCCGCGTTTCCAGAAGCTTCCCTGGCCATGGCCCAGGTAGCTGAGGAGGGGCTGCTCACTGATCTCACCATGCGTCTGTCCATCGCCCCCCGCGAAGGGCAGTTCCAGTGGCACCGCTCCCCCGACCCAAAAGCCCCCCATACATGCCCTGGGAGGGGCCAGGAGGGCAGGGAGGTGGTGGTGGGGGCCGCCACGGCCACACACGGCTTTTTCCTGCATTTAACCGGATTACAGGACTTGAGCTTCCTTCCGTGTGAGGTCCTCCCAAGCCCCTGGGAAGTCACGGGCGCTGAGCCTACACTTGTTGGATCATGAGTCACCCATTGGCTGAGGGGTAGAGAAGAGGTGTAATCAGAATTTCGGCCCTGGCCCCCTCAAAGTCTCCATTTTTCTGTGAACATATAGTGTAGAGGGTACTTATTTCAGAACAATAAAGGGATCGTGACCTCAACAGCGAATCCCTCCCCATGGCCTGGGGGGAGCACAGCCAGCCCCCAGCCCGGGTGAGGTTCCACCCCCTGAGCCCCTCCCGGGAGCTGCCCTTGGAAGTCAGGAACTGCACAGAACGAGCGAATCTGACCTTGAGCTGAGCGTGTTCTGCCCACAGGGGAGCACCGAGAGCTCCCCGAGCCCAGGACGCCGCCTCCTCATCACCCAGCAGAGGAGAAAGGTGAGGGTGTGCCCACCCCCAGACTCTGCACAGCTGAGTCACTGGAGGCGTGGTCACCCGCCGGCCATCTTGAGCTCACACACCTGTGCAAGACCAAGCGTGCGCGCACGTGTATGTGCTTGTGTATGGGTGTGCACATCAGCAGGTTTGCAATTATGTCTGCGTGTGTGTACACATGTAACTGCACTTTCACGTGCACCTGAGTATGTACATGAATGCATGCATGTACGCACACCTGTGTACAAACATGGGTACACGCTCGTGCATGTACATGTGTGCATGCTTGCCTATGAGCGTGTGTGCCTGCGTGGGCAAGCATATACATGTCTCTATGTGTGCTCACATCTGTGTACGAGTGTGCATCCACTTCTGCATGTGGGGGCCCGTTTGTGTGTGTTCGTGTCTCTGTGTGCATTTTCTCTCTCGGGCAATCCAGATGGCTGTGGCAATTCAACACAGCGGTGAAGGTGGACGCCAAGACAGGTCCAGGGGAAGGTGCGGGCCCGGCCCCGTCTACGCCTACCCACCGTGGGCTCGGCCAAGCCAAGAGTGCGGGCAGGAGGCTCCCAGGACCGAACTGCCAGCACCTTTGACCAGCTGCGTTGCTTATTTCTCAACCTCTCCCACTTGAGGGCATCTTGCCATGTATTTTGGTTTCAAGCCCAATCTGAGGGCCAGCTGCTGACCATCCTGGGGGAATATCGTTTTCCTTTGGCACGTGCCCACCTGCTCCAGGCCGGCCTCTGGGGACCCCTCCCCGGGCTCTGGGGGGCTGCTTTTTAAGACCCCCACCGTCGTATGAACAGGGTTGGTCTCTCGATCATCGGCTTCATGGGGAACAAAGGTGGAATTGTGATGGCTGTGGGAAAGGGCAGCAGTTTTGCAGCACAAAGAATTTATTTTTTCTTTCCCTGATCTGAGCCCTATTGGGGGCCCGCGGGCTGCCTGGGAATTCGGAAGCAGCTTCTGGGAGAAGGCTGGGCAGGCAGTGTGGGTGGCCGGCCACTCAGGGTGCCCGCTGGCCCCCCAGTGCCTCCAGGGCGTCCATTCCGTCCCTGGAGCCCCGCCCATGGCCCACCAGCGTGTTGGGGACACACCGGCGTGTTGGGGACACACTTGGGCTCTCCTGCCCTTCTCCGATGCTGTGGCCCCTCCAGCCCTCCTTGGCTTTGCTCACACCCAAAGCGTGTCCCCCGCTGCTCCCGGCTCTGCCCATGCAGTCCTCCCCCACCTCCTCCCAGTGGATCACCTTCCACCCCATCCCCATCCCACCCCCACCGCTATCTGGCTCCATGGACCCCACAAGAGGCAATGCTTCTCGGTCTGTCTCCAACTGGGTCTGCCTCCCAGGTGCCTCGCAGGAACTCCCGAATTGCTCTGAAGTCTGACCCCCTCCATGGTTCTTGTCTTGACCGACGGGGCTACTGGACAGCCAGTCTATCTGAGCCAGCTGTCAGGGCTGGGCTGCACACCACATGGCCCACCACCCCTCCAACCCATCACCAGCTCCAGCCAAGGCTCCTGAGAGCTCTCTCCTATCTCCCCCACCATCCCTCACCTCCTCTCCTACCTCCCCCACCGCCATCTCCCCCACTTCCCTCACCTCCCCCACCTCCCCACTCACCCACTAAAACCACGGATGGCTCCCTGTGGCCTTCAAGGACCCAAGGGTACACCAGGCCCTTTGCAGCACACCCCCCCACCTCTTGCCTCCAGGTTCTGCTCCCTCTAGGGGCTCCCTCCCCTGTGAACACCACGCTTCCCTTCCCAGCCCCATGCCTACCCCTTCCCTTGACGGGCTCCTCATCCCTGAAGACTTGGGTTAGCGGTCACATCACCTCCTCCCAGAAGCCTTCCCAACACTGGTGAGTGCATGCCTCCCACAGCCCTTGCTCTTGACATGCCCTTGATGGAGGAACCCCCTTTGTGAGGTGGGGTGGACTGGTTTATGGAGACATCCCTGCAGCCCGGTGGGAGGGTGTGTAGGTCGGGGAGGTTGCCTTTGCACCCGCAGACCTGTACCTGACCTTCCCGATGGGGGCATGACCTCAGGGATGGTCTGTGAGACAGGGCCCCGTGCCCCCAGTAGGGGCAGTGGGGTGTGAGTGATGGGAGTGTCGGCAGGGCCAGCAGACGCTCCCAGCCGGGTGACCTTGGGTTCACCTTGCCCAGCCTCTGTCTCCTGCCTGTAGACTGGGGACCACAGAAGAATCTGACATTAGAGCCAGACCTGCAGTGAGGCCCTGGCCCTGAGTGCCCAGGGAGCTCAGCTGGACGGTCAGAAGCCTGGCCCGAGGAGGGGTTCCAGGGACAGAGGGAACGCGGGGTCAGGCGATAGGGCTGCCACCTGGCGGTCTGCCCTTGGGAAGGTCGCCAGCCTCCCGAGCAGACCGCCCTTCGGAGGCCCCATGGCTCGCCTGGGTCCTGCCTGTGTTCCCAGGCCCTGGGTCATGGCTGGGCCACCCAACTGCCTTGGGAGCTGACCTGGGCTGACTGTGGCGCTTGGCCAAGTCGTGTCTCTGCATTTAGCACCGGAACCGAGTCATATAAAGCGGGGTGGGGGAGCGGGCACCTCCTTGTCCTCTGCCTGCAATGATGGAGGAGCCAGGGGGCACCTCCCCACTGCCAGTGCCCCTCCAGTTGCTGACCACTGGCCCCCGGCTTGGCCAAGAGCCCTTCCAGCTCTGATAGGCTCTGCTCAGGAGTCTGTTCTCCTTCTTTTAAATTTTATTCATTCACCTCTGGCTGTGCTGGGTCTTCGTTGATGCGCAGCCCTTTCTCGAGTTGCAGGAGCTTCTGTTGGGGTGCGTGGGCTTCAGTAGGTGCAGCTCCCGAGGTCATTAGTCGTGGGGCAGGGGCTTAGTCGCTCCGCAGCACGTGGGACCTTCCCAGATCACAAATCGAACCCATGTCTCTGGCATCAGCTGGCAGATTCGTTACCACTGAGCCACCAGGAAAGCCCCGATCAGGAGTCTTGAGGCCGGCGCCAGCTCGGGCTAAAAATACGGCCGTCGGGGATCACGTGGGTGGCTGGGGGCAGCCGGGCCTGGACT